GAGGAAAGGGAATGGAAGAGGAGGAGGAAGAAGAGGAAGAGGAGGATAAGGGGGGCGGGGGGGGGGGCGAGGTGGAGAAGGGGGAGGAGGAGGAGGGACGAGGAGGAGACGGAGGAGCTGGAGGGGGAGGAAGATGATGAGGATGGGGCGGAGGCGGGGGGGGTGCGCGGAGGACGAGGAGGAAGAGGAGGAGGAAGACCAGGAAAATGGGGGGGGCGGCGGGGGGGGGGCGAGGAGGAGGAGGAGGAGGAGGGTCAAGACCAGCGGGCGCGAAGCACGGCTGCACTCGCGTTCCTGCGGCTCCCTCGGGCCCGACGATCGGAACCACCGGAAAACGGCATGCGTCCGTGGCCGCTGGCGCGGCAGATCGGCTGTCCTGGAGACGTGTGATAGACCTGACGCGTGTGTGGCCGCAGACGAGCACTGGCGAGGTCGTCGTCGTAGTCCTCCTCCTCCTTCTCCTCCTCCTCCTCCTCCTGTTTTTCCTCCTCCGCGTTTTCCTCCCCCCGTCCACCCCCTGCTCGTCCACCTCCACCAGATCCGTTTCCTTTTTGTTGCAGCGATGCAGCTGGGAATCCAGGATGCACGACTCGAGCACGCACGTGACACGTTTGGCTGTCTCTGCATCCTCGGACGACCAAATCTGCTCGGCAATCCGTCCCGCGCTCTCGGGCGGGGAGGGTGAAACGTGAACAATCAAACGCGCCATCGTCCGTCGTGAATTTGGCACCATCCCCCCACATCCTCCCTTCTTCCGCCCCCATTCGCCATACCTCTTGCCTTCGCAATCCCTCGCTCGACAAGCTCATCCCCGCCCTCCTCTCCCTCCCACCCTCCATCGTTCCCTCCTCCCTCGTCCTCCCCTGAACGCTACCACATAGTTTGGTGAAGGGACGCCCTCCAAGATCTTCCCCCCCCCCGGCCCTGTCCGTCCTCTTCCTCCTATCCCGCCTCCCTCCCGCTGTACTCCTCCCCATTCATCTCGCCCTCCTGCTCCTCGTCTGCCTCCTCTTACATCTCCTCCTCCCCTCCCACCTCTTCCTCCTCCTCCTCCTCCTCCAACTCCTCCCCAAGTGTTTTGGTGCATACCCAACTAGCCTGCGGCCCGTTGTTTCGGCCAGACCGACTCAATAAACAAGACTAGGAAACCGGGATTACAGGCCGCACGCTGTTGGGAGGTATCCCGGGAATTCTGCTAGGACTGTGGGTGGTTCCGGAACCGAACCGAACTGGCCGAACCGAACCGGGCCGAAACGAACCGGCGCGAACCGGTGTTTTTTGTCCATGGGAACCGAACCGAACCGAACCGGAAAATTACGACACCGAACCGAACCGAACTGAACCGAGCCGGGACTCCGAACCGGGCCGAACCTCCCCTCGCCGAACCGGCCCGAACCGGAGCAAACCGGAGCGAACCGGAGGGAGGAGGAGGGAGGATGACCGGCGGCGACGACGACGATGACGACGACAACCCCCAGATCCAGGCGCTGTGAAAAAATCACAACCGGAGGTTATTCGCTATTTCGGCCTCCAGGAGCCTCCGCCGCTCGAGGCCCCAAAGGAGCCCCAAACCCCCAAAGAGGCCCCAATGGGCCCCAAACCCGCATACGGGCCCCAAAGAGGACCCAAACCCCCAAAGGGGCCCCAAAGGGGCCCCAAACCCGCATAGGGGGCCCAAAGGGCCCCCAAAGGAACCCCAAACATCCAAAAGGGGCCCCAAAGGGGCCCCAAAGCCCCAAAGGGGCGCCAAAGGGGCCCCAAATGGGCCCCAAACCCGCATAGGGGCCCCAAAGGGGCCCCAAACCCCAAAGGAAAGGGGGGTTTGTCGGGGTGGCTGCAGCAGACTGCTGGTGGGTCGGTTCCCGCGGGAACCCGGGTACCCCGGCAACCGGACCGAACCGGAACAGGAACCGGTCCGAACCAAAAACAACAAATAAAAATACCGAACCGAACCGAACCGAACCGGAAGATTACGACACCGAACCGAAGTGGAGGCGGTTCGGAACCATTCCGAACCGAACCGAACCGGAACTTTTCTGGCTAAGGCTATGCATGGCATTCCCAAGTAGCTCGCGGTCCGTTATTTCGGCCAACCCGATTCAACATTACGGCAAGACTATTGACACCGCACTTGTTTAGGCTAAGCCGCTGCGCGCACACCCACTTCAGTTGTCCTGTTCGTCTCCAGGTGGGGACCTCGCCCGCCTCGTTTTCAGTCGAGGTTGCATCTTCGCGCCCGTAGGCGAGGAGGTTCGCACGCGCGGGCTCCAGCACAGATCGCGCGCTAGTCAAAAAACACCAAATGGGACAGCAGCTTCGGCAGCATGACCGGCTCCTCGCCCTGCCTCATCCGCCTCCCCCGTCGTTGCTTGGCCGCTCCTCCGCCCAATCCCCAGCTGGCCTTCTCCAGTTCCTCCCTACTCCTCCTCCCCCCATCCTGTATCAGGCACCGCAGGACGGGTTCCTCGTCCTCCCTCCTCTTCCCCCCATCCTTGCTTGGCCGCTATCCGCCTCCAGTTGGCTCGCTCCACTGCCTCCTCACTCCCCTTCTCTAAGCTCTTGGGAATTCTGCCAGGACTGCGGGCTAAGGCTGTGCACAGCATGCCCAACTAGCTCGCGGCCCGTTGTTTCGGCCAGCCCGACTCAACATTCACGGCAAGATTCCTGGCACCCGGCCAGGGCCGGCGTCACTGGATATCTGCCAGGGCGGCGGGCTAAGGCTAAGGCTACGCACCGCATACGGTGGGGGTATTTTTTTTTATCTGTGTAGGCGCCGCGCGAGCACGGCGGTTTCATGCAGGCATTCTAGGGCCCCGCCACCGCTCAGCGCCCGATCTCCTCCACGAAGGCGGCGTAGAGCTCGGCGAGGTCGCGGGCGCGGGCGGCCGCAGCGCCCAGGGGGCCCTCGAGCTGCGGCCCGCCGCTCCCGCCTTCGGCCGCTAGCGGCAGCACTTCGCCATCGCCGTCGATGCCCTGCTGCCGCTGCGTGGGGCCCAGGCGGACGCCGTGCTCTATCGAGTGGTCGCTCGCCGCCGCGGGCTCGGGCGGGGCCTGGTTGTCCTTGGGGAGGCGCCGCAGCTCGATCCCGATGCCGTGCATCTCGGGCCGCGCCCCCGCCTCCAGACAGCAAGTCCAGATGGTCACCACCTGCGTGGCCTCAGCCGCAGGGGGACCCTCCGAGGCCTCCGCGCGCCGCGCCGCCAGCCGCCGGCCACATGCGAATCCCTCTCCGAAGGCCCGCGCCTCCAGCTCGGGGTCGCCTGGCTGCCAGCAGCCTGGCGCCAGCCAGTTCGCGCCCAGGACGTCCTCGGGCGCTGCCTGGCGCAGCTCTCTCTCGTGCAGCATCCTCTGCACCTGCCGAGCCGCATGCCCCTGCTTCTGCGCGGCCCCCGCCTTGTCCTCGTGCACCTCCTCCGTCGCCGAGGGGTTGGGAAAGGGGGGCTTCCCGAGGCGCTCCTGCTTCTGCGCCTTCCTGAGCTCGTTCGCCGCCGCCCCTGCGATGCGCCCCTTGATGGCGCCCGCCCTGGCGTGCAGCGCGACGTTCCTCCTGAGCCGCGCCAGCCAGGAGGGCTGCTCGCCGTTGACCAGCGCGTCCAGCGCAGGCACCACCGCGGCGAGCCTGTCGGCCAGCTCAGCATCGCCCGTGAAGGCCTCCAGCGTCCTCTCGGCGAGGGCCAGCCGCTCCACGAGCTCCTCCACCCGCGCTCGGGCATGCCGCACGGCGGCGTCCGCCGCCGAGCGCGCCCGCCGCGCAGCCTCGCTGCGCTCCGCGCGTGAGCGTGGGGACCTGCGGGGGTCCCCTCCCGTCACCATCTCCTCAAGCAGCTGCTGCACCCGGACCGGCCATGAGCGGAGGCAGATGGCAACCAGGGGCTTGAGACCGGCTTGAGCCAAAATGGCTACGGACGGTGGGGGTATTGGATAAGGAACCTTTAGATAAGGAATCCAGGGTACGGAGGCCAGCGGAACTCCAATTAAGGCTTGGCCGTGGATACCACCGCCGCCTTCATCAAATAAGGAATACTCCAAGGTCTGCAGCCTCCTGGGCGCATTCCTTACGTAACGTCCCCACCGTACCCAACTAGCCTGCGGCCCGTTGTTTCGGCCAGACCGACTCAACAAACAAGACTGGAGCAGGCCGCACGCTGTTGGGCGATATCCTGGGAATTCTGCTAGGACTGTGAGCTAAGGCTATGCATGGCATACCCAAATGGCTCGCGGCCCGTTGCTTCGGCCAACCCGATTCAACATTACGGCAGGGCTCTTGGCATCCGCAGAGCCGCGCTTGTTTAGGCTAGGTCGCTGCGCGCACCTCCACTCCAGTTGTCCTGTTCGTCTCCAGGTTGGGACCTCGCCCGGCTCGTCTTCAGTCGAGGTTGCATCGTCGCGCCCGCTGGCGAGGAGGTTCGCAGGCGCGGGCTCCAGCACAGAGCGCGTGCTCGGCTAAGACTCCCACCAAATGGGATCGAGTGCGTTGCATCGTGGGTTGCTAGCCAGGTTTCGCCCTCGCTAGCAACCGGCAACAGCAGGCAACGAGGTGGGGTTTCCCCAGGTAACGGGTAACCCCCTGACAATCCCTAGTTGGCTCAGGGACTGAACAAATGCGACCCGCTCGCTGTCCTGGCAGCTCGGTCAGTGATCCTCCAACTCCTCCTCCTACACCTCTTGGTCCTCACCGTCTCCACCCCCTCCTCACTGCCCTACGCCTGCCACCCGCCTCCGCCTCCTCCGCCTCCTTAGCCTCCTCCTCCGCCTCTCCTCCGCCTCCTCCTCCGCCTGCTCCCCATCCATCTTCCTCATCCTGCACCTCCTCGGGCTCCTTCTCCCCTCCCTCCTCCCACGCCTCTTCCCTCCTGCGCATATCCTCTCCTTCTCCCCATTCTGTCTCGTCTCCTCGTAGGGCGGCCCTCTCCTTCGCCTCCCCTTCTCCGTCCTCTCCTCTCCTGCAGGGCGGCGACGACGACGGCGGCGGCGGCGCTCGGGCAGAGTTCGGGGGCGGCCTCCGGGGTGGCGTGCCCGAAGGGCGCCCCGCTCCGAGCGCCAGGCCGCCGCCTGCCGTGTGCGCTGCGCCGATGGGGGGGGCAGGGGGGCGGGGGGAGGGGGGCAGCGGGCGCGGGAGGGGTCGGAGGGGAGGGGGCGAGGAGTGGAGAAGGGGGGGGGGCGGGGGAAGGGGGGGAGGGGAGGGGAGGGAGGGGGCGAGGAGTGGAACAGGGGAGGGGAGGGGAGGAAGGGGGGGAGGGGAGGGGATCCCTCACCATTGAGGTGAGCCTCTATTCGCGGAGTCGAGGTTCGAAGAGCACATGCACCCCAACAGGGCAACTCTGTGCAAGAGGGCTCCGAAGATCAAGGGATGGAAGGGGCACGAAGCAGGCGGAGGGGAGCTAGGTGGAGGGGAGCCAGGCGGAGGGGCGGATGAGGGAAGAGGAGCGCTGACGGACAGGGGCAGGAGGTCGGACTAAGGACTGCGACGAGGCAGGCAAGGAAACAAGGCAGAAATCACGGGGTGGGAAGGGGAGCAGCACCGCGGAGAGGAATTGCACGACTGGGACAGGGTCAGGAGGGTGAGGAGGGTGACTGGGACAGGGACCGCACGCTCTGGGTGAGGAGCGGCACGCCGAAGACGGGCAGCGGGGCACGATGGACGGTGGCTGGCAGGGCCCAGGCCGTTCGGGGCACCTCTGGGGGGGGGGGGCTCTAAGCTCGAGGATCCGGGACTGGGGTTCCCGGGCGCGGTCGGACAGGTCTGCGCCTCGTGGAGCGCCCTCGCGGCCACGGCTGGAGGATCCCTGGGCTGTGGGGCGCAGGGCGGCAGACACACCGCACAGACAACGTCAGCAGCTCTGGCCACAAGCACCGGACCGATAGAACATCGCTGCAGACAAGACCAGTAAGGAACCTGTCGAGGAATGGGACCACGAGAGGAAGGTGAAAGGCGCACCCACGTGAGGGTAAGCAGCAAGGCTGGGATAATACAGTTTTCGAGCAGTCGGGATGATTGGGCGGACATGGGCTGGACGGCCGCCAGAGGAAGCCCGAGGTCCCAAGCCAACGACAGATTCAAACTAGTGCTTGCCATGACCCTCCCATGGACTGCAAATGCCTCTGAATATCTAAGCCCTGGCACGGATAGCGGCCCGAACACGCTCTCCTCTCGCCTCTCAATCCGTGGGGAACGTGTGCTGGGGAGCAGGGGCGGAGGAGGAGCTGGATGAGGACGAGGAGGACCCCGAAGAGGACAATGAGGAGGAGTGAGGGGGGCAGGACGAGGAGGTGGACGAGGAGGAGGACGAGGAGGAGGACGAGGAGGACGAGGAGGAGGACGAGGAGGAGGAGGACGAGGACGAGGAGGAGAGGAGGACGAGGCGGAGCAGGGGGGACTCTTGCCGTCTCCGTGCGCACGGGCAGGGCTGCCGAGGGGGCACAACACGAGCCCAGCGCCGGCCGTGCGCCTGAAGCAGCTCTCCTGCCGGCTTTTCCGTGGGCACAGGAGCAAATGAACACAGATCCAAAGAGTCCCCCCCTATTTGCCCAGACGCTCTGGAGTTTCGGCTCCCCCCCCCCCAACTCCCATATGTTCCACATGTTCCGGGGAACTGACCATGAAATGTGTCTGTGCATTGGTTCCCCTCCTGATGCTGACCCCTACCTCATCTCACCCCTGCCGCCCTTCACCAGATGTGAGAATGTGATGACCTGAAGGGCCTATTAAGTACACATTCGCGTCCCATAGTATCAGACATCACTGAGGGCAACGATAAGAGGGGAGGGCTGGCACAGGGGGGGGGGAGCATCGACCTGGAATCGGCGACACATGGCCGATGGATCGGCGACAGGCCCCCGATACCAGATCCGAACCTTCCTGGGCAGGGCGGGGCTATCGGACCCTTCTCGGCGATCAATGGGTGATCGGGGGTCGATGCATCCCCCTTCATCTATCCCCCCCCCGTATCGTTGCTCCTGAATCACCCTTACCCGTCGGTCGGAAGGAGTGACCAGAAGCATGAAGTGGGATGGTGGTGGAAGAAGTGGCCCGCCCCCTGCAGACGAAGGCAAAAGGAACACCCCTCGATCCTTGAAGTAGGACGGCGCCTGAAGTAGACTTAAAGGCCTTGTAGATGGGGTCCAAGTAGACGGGGCCGGAGGATCGCGCCGCATCGCCGATGCATCGGCGATAAATCTGCGATGCATCGGCGATACACCTGCGACGTCGGCGTGGAGAAAACTGGGCCACGCGTCGAGCCGCATCGCCGATGCATCGACGATGAATCGCCGATGTGGTGCGATCCTCCGACCCCATCTACTCCGACCCCATCTGGAACGCCTGGAAGATTAGGATCTGGGAGCAATACATACTTTCAATTTGGATGCCCGAAATGGGTACGGAACAAATGGGTACAATGATGGGTACAATGCCCAACAACAAGTGCTGTCCAAAATCGACAGCGGCCGCTGTTGGGCAGGCGGCTCTCTGCCTTCAGTGAACGACCTCCGCGGAGGCGCGGACAGCGAGCCGTGTTCACAAATAAACAGGAGCTGCTGTCGGGCGTCGTACCCATTCTTTCCGTACACATTCCGATCGTCCCGATTCAAGGACTGGCCTGTAACCTCAGGACGGGCATGTCCCCCCACAGGCGGATTCTGGACGAAAAATAGATATCATGAAATACTCGAAACAGACCCCCAAAATGCAAGAAAAAATTATCAAAAAGTCGTCCCCGGCCTTTTCTTTTACTGTTTCGGACTATTCCGCCTGGAGAAGGACACGCCCGACTTACCTGCGGCGGCGGCGGCGGAGACCGGGCCGGGCCGCCCGCAAGGGCCGCCGCGCCCGCCAGGTGGGCCCGCCGGCGGCGGCGGGGCCTGGACGGCTGGCGCCCCGGGGAGGCGGGGGTATAGAGGCCTCCTGGACGGAGTGCGAGTGCAGTCAGCCACGGCACATCACATCACATCGCATGCTCATGCTACATCACATCATGTCAGATCACATCACAGCATACCACATCATGTCATCACCCATGGCCTCGCATCAGGTCACATCCTATCATAGCATATCACATCATACCACATCATGTCATACGTGGTCCGGATACGGTCAAGGGCCCTGGAAGGCCCTGGGCGCGGCCAGCGAAAGCGGCCAAGGATGGGCCAAAGTGGACTGATGCAAAGGTACCCTTGAGAAGGTTGCCCAGCCTTATCATGCGGGTTGACTGTCGATGGGGTCAGAGGATCTCGCCGCATCGCCAATACATCGGCGACGCATCGGCGATACATCGGCAATGCACTGGCGACGTCGGCGATACATCGGCGACGTCGGCATGGAGAACATCGGGCTCACTACCGAGCCGCATCGCCGATGCATCGGCGATACGGTGCGATCCTCGGAGCCCATCTACTCCGACCCCATCAAGGAGGTCTACAAGGGGGGAGGGCCACGGAGAGGAAGGGGGGGGGCGGCCAAGAGAGGAGCGTCCAACAGGGAGGGGGCGCAAATCATGGCTGGCGGCATGTGCGCGACCCAGGGGAGGGCCCAGGGACGTCATGAAATAAGAAGAGGCGTCATGAAATCTGGGGAGATGTCATGGCCCCCGCCATGATATCCACCCCCCTAGTCATCACCCGCCTCTTTGCCGCTCCCGATGAAGCAGGGTTGAAGGGGCCCTTGAACATACAAATAAAAAAACACAAATAACAGGATCCCCCCCCCATATTTCCCCATATGTCCTGGGTTTCTGTCTCTTCCCCCTCACTGCCTATATTTTCCCATATTCTCTGGGGAATCGACGATTGATTGTGCCTGGGTTGTTTTCCCTCCCGAAGGGTGCACGACCTTGGCAGCCGCGGAGGGGGGGGCTGTAGCACCGATGAGGCCCTACAGTCCTCGCGCTCGCAAGGGGAGCGCAGAGGGAGGCACGAAGGGGGCTGCTCTGGCCAGGGCAAGCCTCGGCCACGAGGAGCTTCCTCGACTGGAGCAGATCCGAGGAACGGTCCGAAGACCAGAGCCCATCCCGAGCTCAGCGCGGTCCTCCTTCTTGGCCGAAACCTGCCCCAAACCTTCCTCGGTAAGGTTTCTGGTGGATGCCCGCGAAAAACCTTCCGGAGACCTTCCTCAGGAAGGCTTCCATGTAAAAACCTTCCCTCCCGAGCTCAGCGTGGTCCTTATTTCAGCGTCTTGGATGTACACCCCACGCGCGCCCAGGAAGGGGGAGACGCGAGGAGGGCAGAGGAGGGCATTCTGGCCCGGAGGCAGGCGAGTGGTAGTGGCGGGGCCCTGGGACACACAAACAGATGGACGCAAATCCTGGGACTCCCGAGATGTTTCCATATGTTCTGGGTTCTCGTCTTCCCACCCACGTCCAATAGTTTCCCATGTTTTCCTGGGAATCGACATTCATGTGGTGTGTCAGTGTGTCAGTGTGTGTGTGTGTGTGTGTCAGTGTGTGTGTGTGTGTGTCAGTGTGTGAGTGTGTCAGTGTGTGTGGTGTGTGCGTCAGTGTGTCAGTGTGTGTGTGTGAGTGTGTGTGTGTGTGTCAGTGTGTGAGTGTGTCAGTGTGTGTGGTGTGTGCGTCAGTATGTCAGTGTGTGTGTGTGTGTGTGTGTCAGTGTCAGTGTCAGTGTGTGTGTGTGTGTGCGTGTGCGTGTGTCAGTGTGTCTGTGTCTGTGTGTGTGTTTTTTGTTGTTAACCCCCGAGGTGGCAGCAGGCGGAGGAGGCGGAGGAGGCATGGCACAGCGAGGCAATCGTGGGCCGCGCGCTGGCGCCGCCCGGAGGAGGCGCGGGGGAGGAGCCCGGAGGAGGAGGCTCTGAAGCGCCGCTGGCCCTTCCCAGGCCTGGCGCCGCTCGGAGGAGGCGTGGGGGAGGAGCCCGGAGGAACTCTGGAACGCTCCTGGCCCTTCCTGGGCCTGGCGCCGCCCAGAGGAGGCGCGGGGGAGGAGCCCGGAGGAGGAGGCTCTGGAACGCCGCTGGCCCTTCCTGGGCCTGGCGCCGCTCGGAGGAGGCTCTGGAACGCCGCTGGCCCTTCCCAGGCCTGGCGCCGCTCGGAGGAGGCGCGGGGGAGGAGCCCGGAGGAAGAGGCTCTGGAACGCTCCTGGCCCTTCCTGGGCCTCGGGGGCCCACCTGGGGACCCCCCGCGCAGGAGGCCGCGGCGCAAGGGCGGCGACGGAGAGAGGGGCCCGCGCTGCGGCCCCCACGGCCGGGCTTGCCCCACTGGCGGGGTGGGTGGGGCGGGACGGGCGCGATGGCGGGGGAAAGGAGGAGGAGGAGGAGGAGGAGGAGGAGGAGGAGGAGGAGGAGGAGGAGGAGGAGGAATGAGGAGGAGAAGTACAGTACAGTACTCAAGCCCTTCAAGACCATCCACTGCGTCCCACGGGATCCGTGCATCGACAGCTACGTGCCAACCGCGCGTGCAGAACTGACCGGCAACGTGCTGCATAACTGGCTGAGAGAACGACCGCGCAAATAGTAGAGTAGCTCCAGTATCTCCAGGAAATACACCTGTCCCAGGACGAAGCCAGAAACGCCCTGGTTCGTCTTAAAATTTAAAAACACCCCTGGAAATCCGATCTTCGATAAACTCGAGGTTTTCGAACATATAGATCGTATCTGCGGAATCAATTACAACAGACTGCTTGAGCGACAAAAAAACACGCGTTTGATGCATCATGGAATCGTTCAAATGTAATACCCCTCCTTTCTGCATCCGGTAGCTGCTGATGATCTGGACTGCCATGGCTGTCTCACGACGCCGACGCTGTAGACCACCGTAGACCCAATTTGGAGGAGACCAGGGATTGAGTTTTCGGCGAAGGGCTCCTGCATTGAAATTCCTTCCCAGGGTACACATAACCGTGATGATTCGTTTTCCATCGCAGTCCAGCTCGGCATTCTTGGGTAGCCTGGCCGCCTGGGCAGCGCGCCAGGCAACGGGCGTGCGCCTCCAGCGCCGACAGGCAACACGTAGCTTCTTGAGAAGTTCAGCAGAAAGATTCTCTGGAAGCTCCACTTCTCCGAGTCCAATGCCTGCTCGTGCTCTGGGTCGTCGATCATTGACCCGTGTCGGGTGCAATAGAAGACGCAATAGCTCTGGTGGGCAAGACCATTCGGGCCAAGTTCTCCAAAACCTAAGCTTCCAGACGGTCCGAGACATTGATTCGAAATCTTCCACAGCAAAACCGATAGCCTCTAGTTCTTGCCTGGGTTCCCGAGGGAGGTCCTGGACTTCTCGCTGAATGGTCTCCGGGGAAGACTCCGTGGCAGAGCAGCCGCCCTCACTAGACGAGAGCTTCATACGTTCGGCCCACATCGAGCCCGAGGCTGCAGACTGAGGTAGAGCACGATATTGTTTCTTGCGGGGCCCTCGCCCTTTGCCAGCTAGCATGCGGGATAACTCATGAACCAAGTAGTAGTTGCGCTGCTCAAGAGCTTGCTTGAGTTCGGCTACTCGCCTGTTGCGAACGTCATCCCAGTATTTTCGAGCCGTGTCCCTGAGCTGGCGACTGGGTTGCTTGATCGCGTTGGTCATTTGCTGGGCTACATAATCACTAGTGGACCTGCCAAGCAGTTCACGCTGTTTTCTTCGTTGCTGCAATAGTACGCCCAATAACTGTGTGCTAGTAACTCTCTCCTCCGTGTACAGCGGGGAGTTAGTAAATTCTTCACAGGCTGCTGAATTGAGCACTCTCATTAAAAAGAAATCATGTCGTCCACTTTGCCCTCCTCGTACATCCTCTTGAAATCCTCCATTACCTCCTCCGCCTTCTGATTCACTACGTTGATGAACTCCTCACGCTTTAAACCTAGCTGCGCGCATTCGTACATGCCCTCGCGATTGGGCCGAACTGGCCGCTCGGGAAGTGGAGCGGTGGTAACCAATACAACTGGCCTGTGGTCCCTGGCTGAGACCGTCTGGTGCAATTGAAGTCGCCTGGCGCTTCTAGCGTGAACTTGGCAACTCTCGACCGCGGGAAAAAGAGCGCGAGGGACCACCACATGGTCGATGTGACTCTCACCAGTCTCACCGACGTAGGAGACAACATTCGGGAAGAAGGTGTTCGCGGCAGAGAGGTCCCAGGCCTGCAGCACGGGGCGAATCGCAGCAGAGGCGGGGCAGGGGGTGCCAACGCCGTATTCTCCTGCAGCATAGTCATCTTCAGATTGCCTGAGACCTCCATTCAAATCCATGTACAGTAGGGGAAGTGCATGCTTGCTGTCTAGAAACTCAAGCGTACTCTGCAGCCATGCTACGAGTGAGGCGACTGCTTTGTCGTACACATGCTTCTGTCCCGTCTTAGAAACACGAGGTGGAACATACAGCCCAATAGTACCAAACGCTTGCTCCTGTGGTCTGACTAGTAGACATATTGCTCTTCCCCACAACTGCTTGGGTACTGGCAGCGTTCGTTTACAGCATGGTTCGGGAACCGACTCTTCTTCAACAAAATGGAAATACCACACGATGGTGTGACCGGCGGACCTCTATTGTAACCGAACTGATAACACCGAAACGAATCCATAATTCTTTCTGGCTCGACAAGTTCGCCTGTGTTGCTCAGCTGCGTCCCGCCTAGCACGATGGCGTCGTGGGAGGGGTACTCGGCGGCAATGTCTGCAATCCTGGCGACGCGGGAGGCCGCGCAGGGGTTGAAACCAACGAATCGAAATAATCCAGTACTCATGAGCGAGTCGACCTCGGGCATGCCGCCGCCATGACTACCAGGCGTGAGAGCCCTGTCGAGTGTGAAATCTGAGTGGGGCGTGAGGTGGATCTCGCTCTCTCATCACTCGGGCCACTTATGAGGAGGAGAAGGAGGAGAAGGAGGAGGAGGAAAAGGAGGAGGAGGGGGAGGAGGAACGAGGAGGAATGCGGAGGAGGAGAAGGAGGAGGACGGGGCGGGGGGCGGGGGCAAGGTTCCGCTCTTGCGACGCTCTCCCACGCGAGGACGCACCAGAAGGGGTTCGGACCGCATCCTTCCCTCCATTCCCCGGCCTGCTCTGCCGCGGGAGGGGGAAAGAGGAACAGAGTTCCCCGACGACATATCAACGATGCTACAATACTGTCTACAGTGGAGACCAATCCACAAAAAACCCTGAGACCCCAGGACGTCCATCAATTATTGGTGTGGGAACGTCACGCTTTCCATCGCAAAACCAGCGAAACTCAAGAACCCCAGGGCACCCTGGAGGCAAACAGTGTGTTTCGTGGCATGGGCCTCCACTGTACCTACTAGACCACACCCCAACCCAACCCGAACACCCGCATGTCGGGTTGAGGGGGGGTACGAGTTCCATATCAATGTTCCTCGCCCCCCCCCCCAATAGAAAAAGAAGGTTAATTGAGGCCTTCGGGTTGGGTTGGGGTGTTTTGGTGGGCAGTAAAATCACTCTCCCGTCCCAGGTCACCTCCTGATGAGTTCATACAAGCCTGTCCTTTCACCGCAGGCAGGAGACGCCCTCCTGAAAGGCCTCACCCCATGGCTGCCATTCAAGCGAGAGCCCCATTCGGAAAAGGGTCTGTCTGATATGAATATGGCATGATCCTACGACTTAGAAATGACTGACGACATCCCGACCACAAAACGGAATGCCCCCTGATGTGTTCGCCTGTTGCGCGAGTTGACCTTGTAGCATTGCGCTGCGACAGAATTCAAAGCAATAACCCCATGTTGCAAAGAAGCCGCCCTCCATTCGTGCAGCTGTTCCATCTGTTGAAGCATCTGACATTCGCCGACCCCTTGGGGTCATCGGCGTGTAAGATGCTCCCCCCTCCTCGAACCCCCCCCCCCGGGGCCCGGCCCGGTCGGCTTGGAGGGGGGGGGGGGGTCCGGCCGGCCCCAGGTGAACGCGCCAAGGGCCTCACCACGGGCCATGAGGGCCCCAAGAGACCCACAGGATGGTCCAAGAGGGCCCCGAGTCGCCGATGGATCGTTCCAAGAGGCCCTAGATGGCCCCCAGACGGCGCAAGGGGCCCCCAAGAGGCGTCCCAAGAGGGCCCCCAGAAGCAAGAATCGCCGCCCCATTCCCTCAGGGAAACGTATGAGTTTAGCACATTTGCCTCTTGGACTTTCACAACGTCCAAGACGGCCCAAGAGACCTCCAAGATCGCCGCAAGACGGCCCAATAAGGCTCCAAGAAAACTCCAAGACGGCCCAAAAGGGCCCCAAGGCGGCCCAAGAGGCCCCCAAGACGGCTCCAGGAGGGGGCCCAGGCCGAAGACACGAAAGGAAATTTCGAACCCTCGGCTCCAAGAAGCCTCCAGGAGGCCCCAAGAGGCCCCCAAGTAGCTCCAAGAGGCCCACCAGAGGCCCAAAAGAGGCCCCCCAAACGGCCCCCCAAAGGCCTCAAAAGTGCTGCCAGGAGGCCCTCGAGAGACCTACCAGGAGCCCTCCAAGGGGTCGGCGGTGCGGCGTAAGCCCAAGAATCCACGTCCGGAAGTGACGTGTTGCCGGAGGCAGGTCGCGCAGCGGAGCGGAAGCCCTAATGCAACGTATCCAATGTTTCCAATGATTGCATAATTGCCACATATCGTATTGTGTTACATTCTTATGTCTCCCCCCTTAATTCCCCCCCAGGGCCGCCGCCGAGTCGCCGACCCCTTTCGTGCACTAATTCAACAACCTACAAAAACCTATGGAAATCATTGATTTCGGCCTCTGGGCCAACCTCGGAGCCCACAAGGGGCGTCAAGACGGCTCAAGATGGCTTCAAGGCGGCCGAAGAGAATCTCAAAACGGCCTCAAAACGACCCAAGATGGCCCCAAGCGAGCCCACAAGCTCACAAGACGCCGCAAGAGGGTCCAAAAAGGACCCCCCAAGAGCGCCTCCAGAAGCCAAAATCATAGATTTTCCTATGGTTTTGGGAATATTTTCGCGTTCTCGCCTTTCTCGACGCTGACAAGCCAATGACGGCCCAAGCACCCTCCAAAAGCACCCCAAGAAGCTCCAAGAAGCCTTCCAAAGGGCCCCAAGACGGCCCGAGAGGGCCCCAATACGGCCCAAAGAAACCCCCAAGACGGTCCAAGAGGCCCCAAGGACGGCCAAAAAAAGATCCCAAGAATGCACCAAGGCGGCCGTGGGAGGCCCCCAAGACGGTCTCCGAAGGGGCGAAACGGCGGAAGAGCGCCCCAAGACGGGCCAGGACGCCCCCAAGAGGCCCCAAGATGCCCCAAATAAGCCCCCAAGGGGCCTCAAGAAGTCCCCAAGAGGGAGGCATGGCGGCCCAAACTGCCTCCAAAATTGCCACCGAGAGGATGACACATGCGACGGGGGCGCAGGCGGGCCTCTTCCCGCAATTAGACACGATGACGACGACGTCCCTGATGATAGCGGCAGGTGGCAGGTGGAGCGATATCTTTAGACTCCGCGCACTTCTTCCCTCGCTCGCGCGTCTTCGCGCAATCTGCGCACTTCCAGTCCGGGGCAGCGCGAACTGTCCACCAGCGGTCGTGCGGCCGCGGCGTTTTCTTGCACGCGCTGCATGGCGGCCAGAAGCACGCGTCGCACGTGTACCTCGGCCCTTCCCAGTTCAGAGAACGCCGACCAGTTTTGGCCGCGTCTGGTGACGGGGCGCTACAGACCACGCACTGACCGACCCGCGGGCACGCCGGGCACGTCCACGACGGCCTGTTCGCCGCCAGGTACTTCGTGCTTCGCGGCCGCGGGGCTACCTTGCAGACGTCGCAGTTCGGGAATCCACGTCCGGAGGTGACGTGCTGAGCGGCAGCGTTTTTCGGCGAACGCCTTAATGCAACGTATCCTATGTATCCAAAGATTCCAGAATTGCAACATATCGTAGTGTGTTACATTATTACGCCCCCCCCCGACCCCCCCCCCTGGGAGCTGCGCCGCACCGCCGGACCAAAATGACCCCCCCCTTCTGGGACCCTAAAAACCTACAAAAACTTATGAAAAAAAATCAGCCTCTTGGGCCTCTTGGGGTTCCAAGAGGGCCTCAAGATGGCCCAAGATGGCCCTAAGACGGCCCAAGATATTCCCAACGGGGGCCCATGAGGCCCCCAAGACGGCCCCAAGAGGGCCCCAAAAGCTCCAAGGACGGCCCAACAGGGCCCAAGAGCGCCCATAACTGCGCCTCCAGAAGCCGAAATCATTGATTGTCCGATGGTTCTTGCAACATTTTAGCGTTCTCGTCTTTTTCGGCTTTCAAAAATCCATGACGGCCCAAGCAGCTTCCAAAATCGCCCCAGAACAGCCCAACAAATCCCCAAGAGGGCCCCAAGACGGTCCAAGAGGCAGCGAAGACGGCCCAAGAGGACCACAAGAGGGCTCCAATGCGGCCGCGAGAGGCCCCCAAGACAGCCTCCGAGGGGGCGAAGCGGCGCAAAAGCGCCCCAAGACGGCCCAAGACGCCCCCAAGAGGCCCCAAGAGGCCCCCAACAAGCCTCCAAGAAGTCCCCCAGAAGCCTCCAAAAGGCCTCCAACAAACCCCCCAAAGGCCACACAGCGACTGGTGTGTAATGTAATTTCCCCCCCTTTGGGCGAACTGCGGCGCAGCGCCAGCCGCGTGGAAGTTGGTCACTGCGGCGCCCATGATTGGAGCCGGCGATGGAAGGGAAGATGGGGGGGGTGTATGAAAAGGAAGGAGGGGGGAACGCCCCCAAAGAAACCCCCCAAAGGCCAAAAGAAACTCCCAGGAGGCCTCCAGGAGGCCCCCAAATGGCTCCCAAGAGGCCCCGCGACGACGTGACTGTACGTGCTCCGGACGTGTACCCCGCGAAGCGAGAGGAATCTAAACGTAAAGACCCCTCGAGCGACAACCGCATGTTGAGAAGCAAGCACCATACATTCTTGCGTCGGCTACAAGCTGCCAAGACGAACATGCACGGCGATGGACCGAGAACCTCGGTCCGAGCAGAAGCCGCCCTCAATCCCGGAACACGCTGCAGAGTTGTAGCACGAGCGTGCGCAGCGCTGACGCGACAGCCCCGACTTTAAAAAAACGGACCGCCATTCATCTTCGAAGCTGTTGGCACACTCCCACAAAGTGAGTCGCGGCGCAACGGCTATCGCCCCATTTTGAAAACACGAAACCCGTCCATCCCTGAAGCGGCTGCGAGCCTTTGCAATGAATGTGCGTGGTGCAAGCTGCGAGAGCGCTTTTTTTGGTAAACGGCCCGCCCCACTCCATCCTTGAAGCTGCTGCAGACGTGTGAGAAATTCGAGCGCGGCAGTAAGACGAGAGCGTCATGCTGAAAACGGCCACCCTCCATCCACCCGTGAAGCGGCCGCAGGCTTTGACAAAGACCGTGCGCGGCACGGTTTCGAGAGCGCTATCCTGAAGGCCCCGCCCCTCGATCCTTAAGGCGGCTGCAGGCGTGCGGAAAACGGATGTGCGCGACACAAAAGCAAAAGCGCCGTTTTGAGAACGATCACGCCTCCGCCCCTGCAACTGCTGTCAACCTAAAGGACCCACATGCGCGGCGTCAGAGCGAGAGCGCGATTTTGAAAGCGACCCACCCCCTCCACCCGTTTTTTTAAAAGGGGCCTCGGGGCCTCGGGGGTTCTCTTTCGAAGGTGGTCGACGCCTTGGCCGAGCAGTGCGGCCGCCGTCCTGGCGAGGGGGCGGCATCCCGCCAGCTGGTAGCTCCCGTCTGCCACGCGGAGTGCCGAGCCCTCGCGGCCGCAGCGCTTCCGACCGACCCACCCCCTCCACCCCTGAAGCTGGTGCGGACTCCACACCTTGAGGACCACGAGCGGCGAAGAAGCCGTGAGCGAAACACCGGGCCCGCCCCACCGACGCGCCCAGGGTGTGCGACATGGGAGAGCTGACTGGCAAGGGGGAGACATGAAAGGGACGCGAGGAGGAGACGGGAGCCAGGAGCTGGACGCACAAGGACATACGAGTACTAGATGTCCTCCTGGGATGCGCGCGTCCGGCCCGAACATATAGTATGCCCATCTTGTAGCATGTGGTCTCCCGAGCGGTGTGGCAGAAAGCGCCCGCCACGTTACATATACCATAAGATTTCTCGCTGCGCGCGCCGCTCATACCCAGACCCTCTCGTACCCAGGCGCTCGCAGCGGAAAAGGCCCAGGCAAATAGATCTACTCATGGCCCCATGGAGTCGCCCCCGGGCGTTGCCATTCTGCGCAGGCATGGGCTTCGCATCCTCTCTGGCACCCGGTGCGTTGCCACATGACGAATCATGGAAAAACATGTTTTCGGTCCCCGCCAGGCGTTGCCACGTGGCGAATAGAGTGGAACAGTATGTTTGCCGGCCCCCGCGGGGCTGCCACGTGACGAGTAGAACGGAAGTTAATGTTTTGTATCCCATCCAAGCCTTGCCATATGGCGGCCACCCAACCAACCAACCTACCGACCGACCAACCACATGCCAACAAACCGGCCAACCAACGATCATGCTGCGTTGCATTGCTCTGCACTGCGTTGCAGTTGCATTGCATGTGCAGTACATTGCATTGCACTAAGTTGCGGGCGAGGGGGAGGACAGGAGGGCGGAGGAGGGAGGAAGGTAGGAGAGGGGAGGAAGGAGGAGGAGTGAGGAGGGAGGGAGGCGAGGGGGAGGAGGGAGGAAGGGGGAGGAAGAGGGAGCAATGAGGATGAAGGAGAGAGGAGGAAAGGAGAAAGGGGGAGGGAGAAGGACGAGGACAAGCATAGGATAGAGTTGTTGCTCGCCTCCCTGGCCCTCGCCATTGTCGTCGTCATCGTCGTCCTCGCCGCTGCCACGTGACGACTGGAGAGGCGTAGTGTTTCTCGGCGCCTCCAGGCGTGACCACGTATTAGCTTCGGCCCCCGCGGCGCTGCCACGTGACGAATCGAGTGGAATGGTGTTTTTCGGCCCCCGCGGCGCTGCCACGCCGACAGGCCGAGTGGATGGAATGCTGTTTCATCGCGCCTCCCGGCGCTGCCACACAGCAAGTGGAGTGGGCGAGTTTTTCGCGGCCCCCAGCGGCATTGCCACGTGACGAACATAGCGGACTAGTACTCCTTGTTTCGCCCCCCCCCCCAGGCGGTGCCAGGTGGCAAACAGAGTGGAATCGTTCTTTTCTCAGCCCTGGCGGCGCTGGCACGTGACGAGTATAGTGTAAAAGTATTATGTCGCCCGCTAAGACGCTGCCGCGTGGCGAGTGGAGTGGAAAGTATTTGCTTTGGCCCCGCGGCGTTGCCACGTGACAAGGCGCACATTGCGTCACAGTGTTTTGCGATGCAGTGCATTGCGTTGCGTTGCATTGCGTTACATTGTGTTGCGCTGCATTGCATTGTATCCTGTGGCATTGCATTGCGTTGCATTGTGTTGCGCTGCATTGCATTGTATCATGTTGCATTGCATTGCGTTGCATTGTCTTGCGCTGCATTGCATTGTACACTGTTGCATTGTATTGGATTTCACTGCGTTGCATTTGCATTGCAGTTGCAACACATTGCATCGCAGTGAGTTGCGGGCCAGGAGGAGGAGGAGGAGGAGGAGGTGGAGGAGGAGGAGGAGGAGGAGGACAGAGAGGGAGCAGAAGGGAAACAAGGTACGGAGGAGAGGGAGGGAAGCAGGAGGAGTGAGGAGGGGAGGGTCAATGGAGGGGAGAACCAGCCAACCACCCAGGCAAGTGGGCCACGGGCCACCCAGCAACCCAACAAACCAACCAACCAACCGACCAACCACCAGCCAACCAGCAAACCAACGAACCAACCAACCAACCAACCAACCAACCACCCCATCGCGTCGGAAAAACGTTGACCTGGCAAACGGTGAGCCAACCAGCCAGCTAATCCGCCAACTAACCAACGACCCATCCAATCAACCACGCAAGCAATGAAGAACCAATCCACCAACCAACCCACCAACCAACCGTCGCCCAACCCATCAACCAACCACCCCAAAAACAAGTTTCTAGAATCCGGCGAGCCAATCAACCAACAAACCCAAACACTGACCAATTCGTCCGACAACATGTGTTGAAGACGTCCCTCACGGCGGGCCCCGAACAAATACCCTGGCGACGTACCAACCCCTGCGCAATGCGGGGTACGAGTAGCTTGGGCGACTTGATAGGGGGGGGATGACGAGACATGGACGGATGTATTTCTGCGACCAGCATTTGGGAGGTCCCTTTAGAGTCCGCCGCGGTGCACCACTATGCTGGCCCCCCTAGCAGCCCTCGAAAGTGGCGACAGTTTTACAGATTGCAGCCCCCCAGGGATGGCGAGGTCCCAGTTGAATCTACGTAGCACGTCCACTATGCTCGACCCCCCAGCAGGCCTCGAAAGTGGCGACACTTTCACAGATCGCAGCCCCCCAGGGATGGCGAGGTCTAGTTTGAATCTGCGCAGGACGTCACTATGCTGGACACCCCAGCAGGCCTCGAAAGTAGCGACAGTTTCACAGATCGCAGCCCCCCAGGGATGGCGAGGTCTGATTTGAGTCTGCGAAGGACGTCACTGTGCTGGACGCCCCAGCAGGCCTCGAAAGTGGTGTCAGTTTCACAGATCGCAGCCCCCAAGGGATGGCGAGGTCTAATTTGAATCTGCGTAGGACATCACTATGCTGGACACCCCAGCAGGCCTCGAAAGTGGCGACAGTTTCAGGGATCGCAGCCCCACAGGAATGGCGAGGTCTAATTTCAGTCTGCGTAGGACGTCACTATGCTGGCCCCCCCAGCAGGCCTCGAACGTGGCGACACTTTCACAGATCGCACCCCCCCAGGGATGGCGAGGTCTAGTTTGAATATGCGCAGGACGTCACTATGCTGGCCCCCCCAGCAGGCCTCGAAAGTGCGAAAGTGGCGACAGTTTTACAGATTGCAGCCCCCCAGGGATGGCGAGGTCCCAGTTGAATCTACGTAGCACGTCCACTATGCTCGACCCCCCAGCAGGCCTCGAAAGTGGCGACAGTTTCACAGATCGCAGCCCCAAAGGGATCGCGAGGTCTAATTTGAGTCTGCGTAGGACGTCACTGTGCTGGTCCCCCCCAGCAGGCCTCGATAGTGGCGACAGTTTCACAGATCGCAGACCCCCAGGGGATGGCGAGGTCTAATTTCAGTCTGCGTAGGACGTCACTGTGCTCGACCCCACAGCAGGCCTCGAAAGTGGCGACAGTTTCACAGATCGCAGCCCCCCAGGGATGGCGAGGTCTAAATTGGGTCTGCGCAGGACGTCAATGCGCTGGACCCCCAGCAGGCCTCGAAAGTGGCGATAGGTTCACAGATCGCAGCCTCCCCCCTCCCCCTGAGGCAAGACGGGCAGGAGGCAGGAGGGAGGCGGGAGGAAGTCGCGACCAGTCCTCTATTCAAAACGAATGCCCAACCAAGGAGGGTTGGGACAATAATGTGAAATTCGTTTGACCGGGAAATTTTTTTGACCATGTTGAAGGGAACAACTTGACCCGGCAATCGACGAGTCCAAGCAACCAGCCAGTCCTTCCATGGGATTTTGGAGGCTGCCCAATACGACGGGTCCGAGGAACGAATCCGCTGGACCCGAAAACTGTGTTTGTGATCTTGCCATAAAAGGCTGCATGACCCTGAACAAACATGGCCGACCCCTCTTCAGCGTGAGGTCGGGCATGTCCTCCTGCAGGCGGATCTTGGATGACGTCTGGATCTTGAACGAGACGACGAAGCTTTGTGTGATCTCGCAATAAAAAGTTGTATGACCCTGAAAAACATGGTTGACCCCTCTCCAGCGTTTTTTTGGACGCCCGAAATGGGTACGGAAAGAATGGGTGCAATGCCCAACAACAAATGTTGTCCCAAACCAACAGCGGCCGCTGTTGGGCAGGGCGGCCTCCTGTCTCAAATGTGCACAGGCCGCGGCGACATCGACAGCGAGTCCTGTTCAAAATGAACAGGAACCGCTGTTGGGCATTGTACCCATTCTTCCCGTACCCATTTCGGGCGTCCAAAGTTATGTCGGGCATGTCCTCCTACGAGACGACGTTTGGACCATTCCTGAACACTCCTCCTGATGCGGGACAGGCCCAACGCAACTCCAGCGGCAGCGACGGGGCGCGACGCGCGAGGCGGCGGGCCGGCGCCTGCCCGCGGACATCGGCGCCCCCCCCCTGGCGAAGCGGAGGGCGGGGGGGGGGAGGGGCCGGCAGGCAGGGCAGGCAGGCGCCTCCGAGAGCTGAGCATTTTCTTTGGGTGGAGGGCACAGGGCGAAATCTGAAATGCCGTTTCGATGGATTTTCGAGGCTTGAACCTGCAGAAGGTGAACCACAGGACGGATGGATTTTCGAGGGGCAAAAAGCCCATACGGATTTCACCCTGAGCTCTCCACCCTAAGAAAATGCTCAGCAGAGCAGCGGGCGCCTCGTCAGAGTCAGCCAGCCGCCTCGGCGTCACGCCCGAGAAGGCTCGCTCCCAGGGTCCCAGGAGGGGCAGGGAGGAGAGGGGGGGGGCAGGAACGAGAGGCAGGACGGAGGGCGAGAGGATGAGAGCGGAACAGAAGGCGGGAAGAGGGGCAGGGCGAAGTGATTGAGGATATGCTCGACGGCTTTCGTAGTCTGTTGTGTTCTCGGGCTCTCGGAAGCGTTGCACAAAATGTGTCGCATGTGTGCGAAGAGAGGAAATAATGAGATGAATGAGGGAGGAAAGGCGTGAAAAACAAATGGATCCTTCTCCTACCCAACCTGTTTCCGCAAACAAGAGATACTCACACCCACCTATCGCCCCGTTAGGTATTACTCGCCATTTCCTCGACCCAACCAACTCATCAAACTCATGCGACAGACCTCCCCCCTTCAACCAGCTCGCTTTCCTCGTGGTACCTCTCCAGCGGCTCCACCTTCTCCCTTCTCGTTTCCAGAACCTCCCCCCACCATAGGGACTCGACCACAAGAAACCTTCCACAAGACACCAAACGCTGGAACTCTCAGGACGTCCGTTGATTTTTGGTGTGGGAACGTCACGCCTTCCACAGCAAAACCGTCGAAACCCATGAAGCCCAGGGCACCCTGGAGGCAAGCATGATGCTTCTTGGCACGGGCCTCCACTGTGCTCCCCCCCCACCCACTTGCCCAACTGCCCCAACCACTCAAGATGCGCATCGAATAACTCCCGCCCCTTCGACTCATCAACAAATTGCAATTCCTCCTCTTCATGATCATCCTCCTGTACCGGCTACTCCTGCCCCTCCTCGTCTCGTTTCCCCCACAGCCTTCGCCTCCTCTGTCTTCTCCTTCCCCCCTTTTCATCCTCGTCGTCATCCTGCATGCCTGGAACTGGATCCAATCCCTCTTCCTTCCTCCCCCTACCCCCGGCTGCCTCCTCCCTCCTGGTCTCCTCCTCCTCCTCACTCCTCTCCTCCTACTCCTCCCTCCTGGGGGGGCTCCTGCAGCCTCCGTTCCGCCTGTTCGCCAAGTGGGGGAGGCAGAGGGCCAGACTCACTAATCGTCTGACCTGAGGGTTCGTGTTCAGCACTCGGGCGCGCCTCCGTTGATCCTGAGCCTCCTGCCCTTTTCCCCGTCCATCTCCCCTGCTCCTCGTTTCCCTGCTGCACCTCATGCTGCTCCTCTTGCTGGTGCTGCCCCTCCTCCCGCTGCTGCTGCTGGTCATCCTCCTCCTTCCTCTCCACCTTCCCTATTCCATCCACTCAGTCTTTTTCCTACTCAACGTCGCCCTCGCGCCAGAATCATCATCTATCGCTTACCTGCAGCCGTCTCCCAGGACTGTATGAGCCTCAATCTTTTGGGGAAGAGAGGGAGGACGGACGTTCGCTCTGGACGCAAGATGGGCAACGGCTGGGCGATCTTCCAAGCATGCAATACACTCAGATCAGCATCCTACAGAGAGACGAGTGAACCAGGTCACAGAGACAAGCACGCATGTGCTGATCGAAGCACGCATGTGCCCACCGCTATGTGCGAATGTCGCGGGCGGGGGCAGCCTGGCTCGAGCCAAGCTGCATGGCGAAACGTGCATCCGAGGCAGAGAAGGCCAGTGCAGAGGCACGCATTGACATAATTACGAAACGATAGTCAGGCGACTGTTCGGTAGTCCCGTTCTTTAAACCAGCTGTGATTCGGTGAGATTCCCCAATCAGAGCTTGCCTCTGTAGGGGTCCTAGCGGATTCATATGGTTAGGTTAGGTTTGCCGCCGATTTTCGCCGCACGCTCGGGTGCCCGGGTGCCCGGGAGGGCCCGGGTGCCTGGGTGCCCGGGCGTGCCCGGGCGTGCCTGGGCGTGCCCGGGGGTGCCCGGGGGTGCCCTATAGCCCTATAGCCCAACAGCCCTATAGCCCAAAAGCCATATAGCCCAATTGCCCATATAGCGCCCAAAAGCCCATGTAGCTTTGTAGCCCTACAGCCCTAACAAGATTATGGTTGGGTTCTTCCTCTGGTATCATATGTTCGTACATACAGATCATACCATGTGAACTGGCCGCTTCATCAAACAACGCATAAACACTGTTTCCCTGAGCGTCCCAACATGTACGGTGGGAAATGGCTGTCAGCATGTCGGCTCGTTCTTGGTAAGAATGCATCCCTATGCGCTTTCCCTGACCAGAACAACGAAATACGGAAGAGTCCCGAAGAGCAACGCACCCATTACCATGACACAGCTGCTGCACACGATCAGGCGAACCAGTAGCACGGTCGGTCGCTTGCGATTGTCCTAGGCAGCCTCCTCGTGAACGGCATGATGGTGAAAGACGCAACGTCGGTAAGAATATCGTGGCCCATCGTCCAGCGTGGTCATGCGATGCTGGTGGGAAGCAAGGAGCACTAACGATTAAAGAGTGGGAACGGCTGGACACAATAGAACAGCGACTACCTCAAGAGTAAAGAGGCTCGCATTGCATCATGCGCATCTGGACTTGCCCTAACCCTTCCCCTTCCCGTTCCCATTTTCCCCCCCCCTCCCCAATGCACCTATTGGTCCTATTCCCCTCGTCCCTCCTCCGCTCATCATCCCCCTTCTCCCTGGCTTGTAGATCCAATGTGTTCATTCCCCTGTATACTTCCCCCGTCGCCCAACATCTATAAATTATCACCATGCCTTCCCATCCCCATCGTCCTCCCTACGTTCCTCACTGCCTCTTCCCATGGAGAGAAGCTGTGCATGGTTACGTGCATACACACGTCATGAGATAAACGGTCGCTGAAAGCGCGACCGTGGGAATTCAACCTGCAGAAATTCCATCGCTCGGGCACCGCCGTGACAACTTTACCCTGGACATGGCAATGTTGTGCGACCCACGGCGGACGCCGTCCCAACGGATGAAGATCCCATAATAGAACTAACCGTAAGCTCAAACATGCCGTCAAACCTACGAAACGGAGCCCTCCACTCCTTGGCTAAATCGAAGCGAAGCTGTCGACACAAAACAAAGAAGGGACAAAGCTGGAGGACCCCCCTCTAAACCAATCGAATGAGATTCTCCATCATGTAGCATACTGAATGTGGCGCTCGACCTCCGCCAACTGTTTCAGGACCACCCGGGGGAATCTCCAGGAGCGTCGAAGGAGCCTGCCAAGGACCGTACAGGACACACGTGCCTCAAGTGGGGCGCTTACATTAGCTGTCGGCCGCGTGGGTACAAAAGGAGCTCGACCACAAGAAACCTTCCACGAGAGACCCAAACCTGAGACCCCAGACCGCCCATGGATCTGAAACAGTCGAAACCCAAGAAACCCATGGAACCCTGGAGGCAGGCAGTGTTTCCTGGGATGGGTTTTCCACTGCAACTCACTGTCCACCTGGGCCGCGTCACACTCCAAAAGTCCCTGCACGTCCCTGTGCTCTATGCTCACACAAGCTGTCCTGGCGGCGCGCGGATGAGGACAGAACGGGGAGGGATGGCGGCCCTCTCAGAGGGCCAAGGCGTCGTTGGAATCATCGGTGGTCCCCCAGAGCGCAAGCGGGCCCCTAAAACATCCCCTGCCTTCTGGGAAGCCGCCCGTCCCGTGCCGCCCTGTTCTGCTCGCCGCCGCCCGTGCCCGGTGCACCGACTAAGGGGCCACATGCGAACCCTACCCCTACCCCCCACCACTTCTGAGGGGGAGGGTGGGGTTCACTTTGCTCGAGAGCTCCCGAACGAAGTGAACCCCACCCTCCCCCTCAGAAATCGTTTGGGGTAGGGGTAGGGTTCGCGTGTGGCCCCCTACCGACGGCAGCGGCAACGTCAAACGATCAACTGGGTGGCCCGAGCCGTCGTCGGCGAACCCCCCCCCCCCCCCCCCCCTTGCCCGAGCCGTCGTCGGCGAACCCCCCCCCCCCCCCCCTCTCCCGAACCGTCGTCGGCGACCCCCCCCCCCCCCTCCCTTTCCCCGGCTCGCGCCCCGGCTCCGGAACCCCATCCCTACCACCCCCGCCCCGACCCCCCCGAACCCCTAACCTCTAACCCAAACCCTGAACCCTAATCCTTAATCCCTAACCCGAAGCCTAAACCCTAACCGTAGACCTAACCCTGACCCCAAACCCTAACACTAAGCCTAGCCCTAACCTAAGCTCTAAACCTGAACCCTTAACCCTAACCCTCAACCCTATCCCTACACCCTAACCCCAACCCTACCCCTCACCCTAAACCCTAAACCCTAACCCTAACCCTAAACCCTAACCTCAACCCCAACCCTGACCCTAAACCCTAAACCCTAGCCCTAAACTCTAAACCCTAACCCTAAACCCTAACCCTAACCCTAAACCCTAACCCCCAAAACCCTACACCCTAAACCCTGACCCTAAACCCTAACCCTGCTAACCCTAACCCCTACACCCTAATCCTTAACCCTAACCCTAACCCTAAACTCTAGCCCTAACCCTAACCCTAAACCTTAACCCTAACCCTAAACCCTATGACCTAACCCTAAACCTTAACCCTAACCCTAAACCCTGAACCCTAAACCTTAACCCTAAACCCGAACCCGAACCCTAACCCTAAACCCTCACCCTAACCCTAAACCTTAACCCTCAACACAAACCATACCCCTAACACTAAACCCTAACCCTAACCCTAAACCCTAAACCCTAACCCTAACCCTAACCCTAAGCCCTAACCCTAACCCTAACCCTAACCCCTAACCCCAACCCCAAACCCTAAACCCTAAA